GTTAGGGATCCTTCAATCAAGCGAAACTGAAAATGTAATTGGCCGCAGTTGAAGTAACTATAGGCGAAGGCGTGCGCTCAAGTCGATGAGCAGCTGATGAACACCGAAAGACCTGTTGATGAAGAGCCGAAGTATAAACTAAGCCGATATTGTGACAAACCAAAGAAGCGACGAAGAAGAAACGATCCAAACCGAAAATGTGCCGAACAGTATTCGACTGAAAGAAAAAATCTAAAGAAAAAAATTTGGAGGGAGGACCTCCAAAGGGACCCGCTAACTAAGCTGGCTAAAGTTTTTACTTCAACTACTTTGAGCCAAATCAGCAGTATGAAAACTTCTAGTAGAATTTGGATTTTATGGTTTGACCAGCGCACTATTTATTAACCCCTCTCTTCATCCCAACCCTCAAAGAATCTTACTAACCGGCCAGACATCAGCGTCTTCTAACTGATCTATTCCCAGCCTCCACGTATGCAACAGAAAGGAAGAGAAGAAAAAACCCAATGGAGCGTTGGCCTTTTTCTTCACTATGCTTTTCCGTCCATATGCGAGTTACACTGGTAGCGAAAGTCAGCACTTGTTTTGTGATGATGGACTGGACCACGTGGAAAGGAATGGCGTGGACTTGATCAGGCCGTACTGGACTGCATGGAACTGGACGCTGAGTTTTGGACTAAATGCACAATGAACTGGACTCTACTGAAATGAAGTGGACTAGCTGGACTGGAATGGACTGAGCGGCGTTTGGATTGGAGCCGGTGTCGGGCAAGTCTAAATGAGAAAGATATTGTGGATATTTTAATGAAATAACACGTGAAATCATCGTGGCCCATAGTGGAAGGGAAAACATTGCAAAATAATAATATTCTGAGTTCGCAACCATCGCACATGTCAGAAGAACTGGACAGGGATTTTCTGTTAACTGAAACATTGAAAAACTTGGTCGGTCAACATGCGATAAATTTAAAACATTTTTCCAGAGTAACCCTCGTGAGTAATAAGATTGAAAAACTTTTTGAGATTGAAGAACTGAACAGGGATTTTCTGTTAACTGAAACATTGAAAAACTTGGTCGGTCAACATGCGATAAATTTAAAACATTTTTCCAGAGTAACCCTCGTGAGTAATAAGATTGAAAAACTTTTTGAGATTGAAGAACTGAACAGGGATTTTCTGTTAAACACTTCTAACTGAAACATTGAAAAACTTGGTTGGTCAACATGCGATAAATTTAAAACATTTTCCAGAGTAATCCTCGTGAGTAATAAGATTTAGTTCGAGTCACTCCTTAATTAACCCTTCACATCTTTACATCAGTGTTTTTATTCTCAATTCTATTCTCTTTACATTTCTTAAGGAGAATGTGTTTAACGATCATGAGCTTCGTTTTTTGGTGATTATTTCCTTTCTCCTTATTTGTGACTTTAACTTGTGATTAAGGATTGATAATGTCACGAGAAATTAAATGTTAGTAACTCCTTGGTTTTAAGACTACAAAAAAATGACTAATGTCTGAGAGCGAAACCCCCTTCAAATTGCCAAATATCAGTTTCGTCTGGTGTCATGATGAGTAAACATCGAGGCGTACCTTTAATTTTTCCTTGCGAAATTGGGAGAATCTTGACGTAGAATTAAATTTAAATTTCAAGCCCAAAAAAGGAAGTAAACAGGCAGGCAAATTAAATCTTAAGCAAATAGTGGAGATAAAAGCCAATCATGTAAACAAGATTTGAATTTATAAAAGACAACTGAGATAAGGAAAGGGCTTTTAGTCTTTAATGCCCCAAAATCAAAACTTGCTTTGAAAAAGGGGTGTTTCGTCTAAAATATCGGAGAATTTACAAACCTCCTTTGAATAAAAAGCGTAGTACTGAAATTTTTATCATTCAGATGATGTTTCGATTGAAAAGAAAAAACACACAAGTGTGTGCCTAATTTTTTACTTTCCATAACGAGCGGACTTCTTCCTATTTCATTTACACATTATCCAGCAAACAGGTAGTGAGAATATTCAAATTTATCTCGTAGATGTTGTTATCTTGATCTGATATCAAATTCCTGTAACTAATTGGAAGGAAATGTTTAGCAGCCAAAGGGAGAATTGACGCACAATGAGTGAAATTTCCGCACAGCCCCATATTACATTATGCATTCAGTTCTTGAATAGAGAAAAAATGACAAAAACTGGGAAAACAGATTTGTTTTACAATAGTATGGGGCTGTACGGAAACTTTACCCGCACAATGTTCAAAACTAATGCCTCTAGGAACAAGCTATAGATATACTCACTATCAAAATTAATATGCGTAGCTTAAGACACCGAGTTTCGCTTCAAATTTGTAACTTTTCAAACTTTAAGAGCACGAACCACGCTTTCGCCACAGTGTTAACGCGGAATTTCGGCAAAGAAGATGAAAGATTAGAAATGGTCCTCCGCGCGACAACAGTTTCAAAGAAGAATTTCAAGGAAGCCAGTTAAGCAAAAAAATACGCTCTAGAATTTGTAATACTAAGTAATGAACAACTAGGCAGAAAGACGAGCGACTAAAAAGAATCAAATGGTTTCATGAAACGAAGCTTCGACCTAAAACCCCTCTTGAATTTGTAAATAGCTAAGGTTCCTTTTAGAATTAGTTTACACAGTTTTACTTGTTTACATAGGCGTCGATAAACACTTACCTGCTTCCGTCCGTTACCAGAAATGATACGTGATGTTAAGTTTGAAAAAACGAGAAACGAAAGAGGGCTTCCAAAGGAGAAAACACTGTGTAAGGGCTAAAATTGTGACAAGAATTGATCACTGAAGTAGAATTTCTTTAAGCTGATAATTTGAAAAAGCGCGCTTTTTAAAACTTATGCGCACACGTGGGTTATTGAGCTCTTCAATGAATGGCTCGTCCAACTGCACGGATTTTGAGCACGCACGATTTTTCTTATTAGCACCATTCATTAGAGGCACATTTTGTTACGGTAGACGCAAACGGCAAATTAACATCTGGGTTCTCTCATTTTTCTTCCAAGACAAAACACAGAAGGGCCTCGCAATGAGTACAAAAGTTTTGCAAAAAATTCATAAACTGATAGGGAAGTAACGAAACTTCAATTTTTGTCGTAGTCGTTCGTCGTGGTTTATTGAGCTCTTCCCTGAATGGCTCGTCTAACTGCACGGGTCTTTAGCGCGCACGATTTTTCTAATTAGCACCATTCATTACAGGCACATTTTGTTATGGTAAACGCAAACGGCTAATTAACATCTGGGTTTTCTTCGTTTCAATGAGTACACTGTTGGGTTTTTTGCAAAAAAAGCATCAACTGAAAGGGAAGTAACAAAACTTCAATTTTGCCGTAGTTGTTCTCGTTTAAAAAAAAAAAAAAAAAGGTCCCGAATGCCTCTATCAAAATAGTAAAATATAATGTGAAGTAAAGCATAGTAATTTTTTACACGGGTTTTAACGGCAGAAATGATAGGAAAATAGTCAACTAAACTTGTAAGAAAACTTAACTCTGCTGTCCACCTGGCCTCGGTTGTTCGAAGGCTGGGTCTTGCTATCCACTAAATAAATCTCCATCTAACGGTTAAGTGTTTACAAAACAAACCACGCTATTTTAAGCGCTTTATTTGCACGAGACTTTTGGTCTTTCTATTAGCGCAAGATTCACATCTGTGAGTGTTTTCTTAGCCTGGAAGGTTATCTCTAGATTAACCGTTAGTGCACCAGATTGTTTGTTGTACGAGGTCATATGTATGACAACCATTCTATCAAGGAACCAGCCAACGTCCACATTCTCCAAGATTGATATTATAACGAACCGGGCGATAATTTTAAATTTCGGTTAAAAGAAGGGCCGCTTATTGGAAGGAGGAAACTTAATCGAGGGGGAGGGGGGGGGGGCATTAATTATCATCACCCAGTACTGATTCCACTGTAGTTAAAGCTTAAAAATTTATAGATAAAAAGGCAAAAGGGACAGGTCTTCCTTACATCCCTACCATCTAAGACCATCTAGGACCATCTAAGATAGTGAGGGAGAAGGGGATGCTTATTTAAGAGGGGCGCTTGTTTGACATTATGTTTAAATCCAATCGAATCGAAGAATTGTTACAGGCAAAGTACACACAAGACTGCACAGTCACGCAAAGTTCACTGAGTCAATCGCATATTGGGAACCTTTGAGGCTTTGACGATCTCACAACGTTGTGTAGGTTCACCTGCTTGCATGTGTCGTAACCGCCACGGAATATTTTCTCTCCAGTTTGCTGGCCATAGATCTATCATTTCGATCACGCTCGGTTAGGGTTAATTAAAAAGTTTAGTGAATTTGAATCACAAATTTTTTTTTTTTTTTTTTTTTTGGGGGGGGGGGGGAAGGGAATTGTGTCTCGCTTACTTTAAAAAAGAGTGTGAGAAATTATATTTCACTTCGTGGTTTTTGAAAGCCGCCTTTCTCAACAGCCCTAGTTTAAAATTCAGTTGCCTGGCTCGCGACATAGATTTTTATTTTTCCAGCGCGGTTTTCACAACTGCTTGTAGTTAAAGAATCTATTACAGGGGACGTTTGGATCTAAGCCTTCTCTTTTTCAAGGGGGGACTTTTGTATGGCGCAGTGAAGGGAAAATTGGCAGTAGGGATGCTAGTATACTAGAATATTAATACCAAGCGCGCTCTTCGTGTAATTGTTTATAACATAAGGTCTTTCATAACTGTAAACATTTTATTTGCCCCTCACATTTGTTGGTAACAGTAGTAAGATTTTTAGAAAAAAAAAACAAACAAATGAAAAGAAAACAGTGAAGTTAGGGAACTTAAACCTTTAACATTTCATAGAAAAAAGAGCACAGAATACCTATGGGGAGAAACTTAAATAGTGCCACCTACTTTTCTCCATTGCCTTTCATTTTTTTGATCGATAAAATTTATTAAAAATGGATGGCTGTAAGAAAAACGTCAAAAAGATCACACTGAAATGGCTATTGATCACAAAATTTTGTTTGTGTTCCTTCGAATGATTGTAGTAAGAAAACACATCGAGGTTTTTCCTATTCAACTGCAGGTTAATTAGATATTGGATTTTGCATCCAAACTGGGATAGGTTAAATTTATTCATTTTTTATGTGCCACGGTTTGCTTACTTGGAAAGGCAATTCTAAATATAGCTTAGCAGATGTTTTTTGTCGCAATTAACATCCCTAATGACTTTTAATTTGACGTTGGCAAAAAGGTGGAAAAACGAGAGTGGAAAATAAGGTGGAAAAAGCGTGAGTGATGAAAGATCTAGACTGAGATGTGATAACGTAAGAGACTAAAATAGTTTGAAATACTTGTCTTTAATCTCATATAAAAACACCGAGTTGGCTTGTCTGAAAAGTGTGTGAACCTTCATATTGAACGGTTATTTAATAAAATAAAGTGCAAATTCTGCCGCCCTACATTTGAGTTAATGGATTGATATTGAGGAGCTTCAAACAATTCAAAAATATCTGAAAATCAACCAAACAGAAATAAAAATTTAGCGACAGATTCAACGCATGATCAGTAAAATAGAGTTTTAATGTCAACAACTTTTATCAGGTCAGTCAAAATCCCGCCCGCCCACCCCCCCCCCCCCCAAAACAGAACTTACAAAGCCAATGGATCCCATGGAGATAAAGAGGAGATAAACAGTCACTTGATATAAAACACAGTACATAGACAACATAGTGGTTGAAGTAAACTGACCTGCTGAAGAGCTTTCATTAGATACAATCTAGCAAACATTGTAGGAAAGAGATGCTGTCTTGGCTCCTGTTGCGTTTAAAAGAAAACGAAATAGATTATAAAGCACGACTGTTGCAACCAACTAAACTGCTTTAATTATTTCAAAATCTGCGATACACCATATGCAAAGTGAGAATCCTGACAGTGTGCATTGTAAAAAGAAAAGGAATAATACTGCAATTAAAATACGAGCCTATCTAGTTGTTACGTTTTGCTCGACTAGCAGATTTTATACTAGCACGCATCATTTAAAAAACTTAATTACGCAACTTGTTTGATTAGTTCTTAGTTATGATCTACAGGAGGACAGACGCATGGATGACGTCATCATTAACAATTTTTCGCGCCTTTTTTTCTTACATAAAACAAGAAGCACACGGCAACATGGAATCTATTTGTGAAATAGGGAACGTGAGTCAACAATCTAAATGTTCAATTGCAAGTGGTAAGTTTGGTTTTCCCTTGTAAGCCAATATTTGCTGTGTGCGTCAAGTCCGTGTGCGCGTTAAGTCCACGTTGAAATATCAGAAAGATGGGAAATAAAAATACACTTGGCACCTTTAACTAATAACTGTATTTCACTTTTTGGCTAAAAATCACTTACTCCAAGTATGTGAACTCGGCCGTAATAAGAACTGAACTTGTGGCTTAAATTGTAAAGGAAACAGCAGATCTGAAAAAAATTCAAAAGCAAATTAAAGCAGCAAAAATCAAATAGTGATTTACAGGGGTAAGTTTCTAAAGAAATTGTGGTGCTGCGTCGGTGGGAAAGTATAACAGGGTAATTTAGAGTTATCAAACGGTGGCCAAATTACATTATCAACTCAGTTGATAGTACTAAATTACCCTGTTAAAAATCAAATAGTGGTCTATTTGCATTCTGGCAAATATGAAAATTGTTCAGTAAGGGTTAAGAAAAATTGCAAAGACCATGCACTTTAAGTACTTCCTGAATAATTATACCAGTCAGTTTAATTCCTTACAATTCAGCAGGATCATCATTTTACTATTTAGTGCGACGTCTTGTAAGTTTGTGAAATAGTAAGACAATTAAACTGCTGCTCAGTCTCAAGGAATATCACCTGTTCGTTCAAGCAATCAGCATTTAACAGGGACGCACATTCGTATCAGGTGAGGATGTCTAAACATGTCGTCCTAATTAGCCCAAACCAAAAAAGTAAGATTTTCTCACTTAACACCACACAATCTCTTACTTAAGGTTTCTGAAAAAGACACAATGAAAGTAAAAGAAGAAACAGTTTCTGTAATAATCACTAATTGTTCCACAGATACTGCAGCCCTTGCCCTCGTATGGCTGAGATGTTTAATGAATAAAGACTGAGAGCACAGTGTGTTAATGAGTGTGGGTATAAATAATCCTATGATTGCATGCACTCAGCTTTTTATTATTGACCAAAGGTATCAAAATTAACAATTACAGTATTAACACCTCCTCTACTGAAATGTACACTTTACTGACCTTATTTGAGTGAATAATGACATTTTGAGATTTTGATGTACACATTTTCAGTCCAGAGACAGCACCCTTAATCACAGATGGAAAAGCTACTATAAAATGTAAAGTCAACTCCCATTCAGCCTGTTTAAGAAAACAAAGAATTCTCTGGCTCAGATACATAATGAATCAATAGAACCACAGAGTATATTTATATCTGAAAGACAATTAATTTGTAATTTCCTGTTCCTTGAAGCACAAAAAACAACTGAAATTAATAGGACTTATATCCGTTGATTAAAACATGATATACCTGCAGTTTTAAACGATGGTTTATAGAATTAAACATTCGTTATTGGTGATGTAAAGTTTTTAATTCAATTTCAAGGTTCAATTTATTTGGTTAACTTTAGGACAATTTGCAAACCTGTCCCAGTAACATAAAACTTAATAACCTTACACTAAGGTGAAAAATGAGGAAGGAAAAGTGGGACTGACTGAAACAAAATCAAGGTAAACTTCCGTAGACAGATCAAGTTACATTGACTGGTAAATATGTGTTGTTACTTTTTGCAACATCCAAGGTTTCCTAATCCCTACCTCTGAAACTCATAGCTCCTTAATTTATTGGTAGAAAGACACTGTGCTTTCAGACATGTGCAGTCCCAAAAATTCAAAGGATCTCTAACTGATATTCTTCATACAAGCCATTGCAGTTTCTGTCAGAAGTCACTTACATGATCACGTAGTAGGCTAAAATCCACCTCACTGATGGGAGGTAGTGCTGGATAAACACCTGACGGAATTTAAAAGGCTTAGTTGGTAACAAATTCACCTTTTGACCCATTGAGTGATCATTGTTCACAAGAACAGAGATCACTCAAGGGGGCAATTGAGAAACAGTTGAGGGTTTGCATAACTTTCAAGAATTCTTCCAACCCCTGAGTATTTAGATGAGGCTATGAAAAAGTCCTCTATTGCTTTTATAAATAAATATTTCTAAAAAATAATTTAACAGATGAAAGCATGACATCACAACTATTAATTTTTCATTTAACTCTCACTGAAACATTTATCATTTCTAACAAGTAAAAACATTTGTTCTCACCTTTCTGGACATTCTCCTCAAAGTTTGCAAATAATTTAGCAAGCCTGGCACAGTTGTATAAAACAAAGGTGGCTTGCCTGAATTCTCTTGAGGTTTCACTTATGTCAATTTTTATCTGCCAATAGTAACACATATTTTACTAATAATTTACTACTTTTCTTTTTTCCAAAGTTACCACCACTACAAGAATCAGATTATTACACCATGTGAAACATGATAATAATATCCAATGTTGTGTGTGTGTGTGTGTGTGTGTGTGTGTGTGTGTAACAAAGAAAAATAATTTGAATCCTCAGATTTCTAACTCTGAAGTACATTAGTAGTAGAACTGGATGTTCTACAATTGATGTACAGAGTAAACAAACAATGCAAGTTAATAAGAACCTAGATGAGCCCACTTGTCTGTGGCATAACTGTAGCTTATTAATAAGTTCTTTGTACCACAGTGGTAGCTAGAACATCTAAACTAAATAAAATCTGTGGCTCAAATGTTTATGTGGTACTTAGATTTTTCTCTGTTGCACACTCATGACAAGTGTTTAACACCTTTGTTTGTCTGCCTTAAAGTAAGGCTCCAGAATAAAAAACATTTTGATGTTTATATTTTTTGCCAAAATCTCAAAATTTGCAACATGTCTTTGGCAGTCAACTGGCCAACCTATGTTGAAATCCTAACTATATCCTCAAAGAACAGCCTTGTAATACTCACTTCACTGTTTGGAGCAGAAGAAAGAGTTTCTAATTTGATTGCAGCCACCGCCATTTCCCTAATTGATGTGTCCCAGCCATGACCTTGTGAATGAATAACAACACCATCACTATACTACTCCATCAGTGACTTTTCTTAATCTGAGATTGTATCAACTAAAACTACAAGTTTATTTTTGACTTCAGGCTCATACCTACAACTTTATTGCCATACTTCAGTACATAAGAAGCTCGAAGTTGTTTTTCACGAATTCTAATAAAAAAGACATAATTACTATTAAAAATAAATTACTGAAAATAGCAGCAAGAGCATAAGAGTATACCTCTCAGAAAAACATTGTGTTTGTTATATAGACAAAAGTCAACATTTTGTCTCAACTCACCTTAGTAACTCCAAGACATCAAGATGATCGTGAAGTCTTTGCTCATCTTTGTACAATAAAACAAGCCCATGTGAAAGGAAAAACTATACAGACAAGCAGCAAGTTAAAATTACAAGAAACATCAGCATACTGATTAGTTGCAAGATAATCTGTATGACATTTCAGCTGAATTGATGGGATCAGAACTGCCCAAAAGTATGTGTTGAATTTTTATGCCATAATTTCACATTGAAGTTTTTTTTATAATTCTCATCCTCAGTATACTCTGCCTACAAATTAACAATTGCAGAGCGTTTTCATGGAAATTTCTATCCTAAACTCCATATAGTATATGTTTTTTAAGGAAGAAAGTGTGTAACACTAAAACTTCTGTGATTGTATAGTCTGATTGTTACCCCCATGTTTAAACCCCCATGTTTAAACCATTTATAATGATATTCCTGCTTAATTCACTTCCTTCACTTCCTTCTCCCAAATCCAATTGTTGGCATCACCTTATACACCAATCCCTTACTAGGACAGGTATTTAAGATATGTTATTGCATTTCACCTGGACTTACTACTGGTGAACCACACCCTTGAGTTGTACACCACATTCAACTTTGTGTACCTGTTTCTTCATGGCCAGATTTGTTGATGTCATTTGCCAAACTGTGCTAGTTTGCTGTTGACTAAATGCTTGTTTACAGCTTGTTAAGTGAACCACCATATCTAAATTTCCAGTCTGCATCAATGAAAAAAAAAGCAAGGGAAAATCTTCAATAACACATCACATTGTTAATATATGTGTGTTATCTATCTAACACAGTAAGGGGTTGGTCTTTTTTCCAACTTACATTTTTTTCAACTAAATCCAACTTTGCCACATCAAGAAGAATTGAACTTGTTGGTGAAACTGAAAAGAAAAATAACAAGAACAATCTAAAGAAATATTTCAGCTTTTAAAATAATCTTGCTCTTGGTAGCAAATGATACTTCAGTAACAACTTACAGTTCTTATCTCTTTGCTTTATTCATAATAGTCACTGCACTACAATAAACAGATTTCCAATCCATCTGACAGCCAACTTGGTATTTATGAACCATTTTCCCTTCTTTACTACTTTAATTTAATTGATTATTCTGTGAACAGAACAGTCACATTATCCAAGTCTGGAACTTATTTGTTTTCTCTCTATCCTTGTCACCTGATATTTGGATCACTTCTAACAGACTCACACAATAACATAAAATAACTGTCTGATCTTATGAAGTTGTTTGTTAATCTTGTGAACTTTGTTACTTATAAAGAGATGCATACCTGATAATTTATTTAAGGTCACTGTAACATTCCAGATGACAAATTTGAAAATGAAACAAAAAATATTATCAGAACCAAATGAAGACATGATGGTACTAGTAATATTATTACTGGAGACAGAAATAAGTTATCTATTGAGCAGAGTAATAAAGAAATCTTTTGGCAGACAATCAGATAATTACTCATATCTCTGCTTAGTTTAAGTCATGACCTGAATGTATTTTGGTACAGTATAACACAACACAATGACCCAGGAGGAGTTCACACCCAGACTTCTAGATCTAAAGCCTACTGGCCAACCACTTGACAACCACGTCACTTTCTTCTCCAACAAATTTGCCATAAAATCTTAAATTACTTTTTTTCCTGTAGGACTAGCTTGATTAAGATCATGAGAAAATCATAAAATCATTTAAAGGTTTTGAGTTTTAAGGGTTTAAAGACATCAAGAATAATGTTATATTTAATACAAATCAATGTGAAATAGCATAAAGTTCAGGATAATGGAAAGGTAAAAAATTGTTTTTAATTTAATACAACGTCATGGACATCTGTGTATGTTTTGATTACAAGTCACACAAGAGCTATTTGAGATACTTACCTGAATACAGCTCATTATCTTGGCAAAAATTGGGCAAATCCAAAATAACCTCATCACAATTTAAATCAGAGTCTTGGCAAGTACATTTACTCTCACAAAGAGAACTAAGCTCAGCCTCATGGATGGCCTGCCTTCCAGTCTTTCTGTTCAAAGAGTCCGCATATTTGCCATTTTTTAATATTTCGTAAAGTTCTTCAGCTTTAGTAGTAAGGTCTTTTTCTGTCCACAGGCTGATTTTCCTTACATTAAATAATGATGGAGAGAAGAGGTTGTAGGTTTCCTGGTAGCCTTGGATACTTGCATCCTTACATGTACAAGTTTCTTGGCTCTTATAGTCCAAAGCTGATTTCACGTCAATGCTAAAGAATATTCAAATACATGTCACTGTAATAAATATTGTAAAATTAAGAGGCACAAAAATATGATTAATCCAACACTCAGGAAAGCAACACCTGAGCCAATCAGTGTATAGTAGGTGATGGAAAATCTGTTCTCTGTAAGACCATTTTGTACTAGCTACTTTGCAAATTGTGATCAAATACATGTACAGAAAATAAGACTAGTATTTTTTAACTGATTCTAACATCAATGTCTGCTAGGAAAAAGTTTAAAGTTACTCAAATATGATACATGTATATCCCAATATGCTAGGACATACTACCTCTCAGAGAGTTTCAAAATTTTACAGGAAGCATGCCCCAAGACCCCCCCCCCCCTCCTCCCCATCCTAAAGGGTTGTGCTGGCTTACTACATACCATGCTTGTCTTGCAAGTGTGATTCAATTTAGCCAGCCACTCATTTTGATCATACATCCATTACTTTTTCTAATGACAACCCAGGTATATTATTTAAGCATTTGAAACTGCCATAAACTGTACATACCCATTTGCATTTAAAAGTTCCTTAATGTGTTCGCAAATGAGAATTGTTCTCAGTTGATCCAGATTTAAATGACCTTCATCCTCCACATGAACCGAAAGAGAGGGATTCAATAAAACACACTGATGTGTCTGCTTGCTTGACTGTCCATATTGATCTGTTTCTTTGATGATATTGTTAAACACAGCACTTGTTACATCTGCCTTGTTGAGACTCAACAGAAGATTTCCCCCACTTGTCACACAACACTGTCTGACAAACTGAACTTTAGACACATGGTCACTTATCTCCTGACAGAGACTTTGAAATTCAACCTAAAATGTCAAACACAAAACAAAATATTATTAAAAGATCCCTCTCTTTCAATTCTCTATCATTAACCAGGACTAATAAATAGTAATTGCCAAAATATGTTTTCTAACATACCATATTCTGTTTATGTACACATTTCTCAAAATTATGAAAAGTCAACTCACTAAGTTGTAAGAGAGTGATTTGATATCTTTATTTGATAACTTAAAAGCTAAAAAAGAGTTGTCCTAAATGTATTTCAGTCATAATGCAGGAGGCTGAAAGAGAGAGTTATTTTGATGAACAGGAAACCAGTTGATTTCTGTCATTAACCATACAAGGCAGTTTGGGCTTCCTATATCTAAAAAACAATTATAAGGAACAGGCTTGATGATCAAATGGTGATAAAAATTGTGAATTTGCTGGTGTTTTGCATGTCAACTACTGTTTTCTGGCTACTTTAAATCACAACAAGATATTCAAGTAAAATTACCAAAACACATAAAAGGCTAGGAGTACAACCCATATTTAGAGGGCTATGGTTACTTTGCTTGAAACAAATCATGTACATTTTATTGTTTTTGACACCTAACAGATTTCCACTTTTGACCGTGCTATTTATCAACCTTTACGGTTGAAAGACTGTAGACAACAATGTACTTGAAAAGAGTAGGAGGCAGCCTACCTCCCCACCTTACCCCTGTCACCTTGGTAACTGGTCAAGTTGCCTGTAAATCATCTCACCAGAAGTCATGTGTCTTCCAGAACCTGAGTCATGTTGCACAAATTTTTTGTCATATTGCCCAGAATAAAAAGTCAAGTTGCCCAAAAGAAAAGCCAGTCGGCCTAAGAAACAAATCCTTAAAAGATCAGACTAGGCGATTGACCATTAATCATTACCTCCCTACCCAACACCCTTCCCCTCCCCTACCCCCACTCCCTCTCCCGATAATGGTAATGGTAACTTTATTCATACGCGATAAATCCTTGAGCAAATAAATAACCCAGATGTCAATGCAAGCATTTTCCCATTGGGAAAACTTCTTGTAGCACTTGTATGGAAAATTTCAAGCTATCTCTAAGCAATGTTAAGCCCTTCTCTAAACGTGAGTTACAAAAGAAGGCAAATTTCACCACCTTGCCAGCGCCAAGATAACTCCGTACAAAAGCTGGAATGATTAAATCTCCATTTTCCAATTTCTTGTTGAACTTCAGAGAACACGAATCTAGATTCGTTTGATCCATACTAACAACAGTAGACAAAGCTTCATAGACCAAACGTTTTAGGTACGGCAATAAATCACAACATTCGGTTGCTTTGTTAGCGAAGGTCCCCTCCAGCTCGTGAGCCTCGTTCGCCGATTCGTCCGCCATGTTGTTAGTCAAGCTTCGCTATTGTACCTCTCCTGTTTAAATGGATGAAAGAGACTGGAAGCTAGTTAGGGACACTACGCGCTCCCTCGGAATTTTATTCGCCAAATATACGTTAAATAAGAAAATAATACCACACTGGACATTTTTCATTCATTCTCAAAACCTGTACGATCATATACCACGCCAATTTTTTTTCGCGTTAATGTCTGCGGTAACTTATGTTCAAAACCAAGCAACATAAAGGCTTCACACATCCATTCAACTAACAAGCTTAGCAACCCGAGTCTTAAGGAAAAAATGTACTGAGCATAACGTGATATTATATCCAAAGAGTTTTACTTACAAGGTTGATAATTGGTGCTCTACATCCTCCAATTATCCTCTAATTACCATGATGTAAATACTCTTTATCATCTTGAATCGGTCGTTAAATCAACTTTCAAGAAGGTTCTTATCAAGACCTGAAACTACAAAATAAGCAGATGAAAAAATTGAAAACATCAACAACCAACTGCATTGAAAAAAAATTATTTCATCTATGATTAGCTTCTCAAGTTGCCAGGTTCTCGTCCATGAATAAATGAATGAACATAGATTAGCATTATTTAACTCTTTCATTACTTGTCGATCATATCAGTGGAATCAAAGGTGAATCGTTCTTAGCGCTACGACCCTTAACACACGAAATCGGTCCAATTTTTTCAGTTTCCGGGAAAAGGTAAGATACTCAGGTCAGTTATTAAATTATTCACCAATCACATGTCTGTAGAGAAAGTGATTGTGTCTTTTCATATCAGATTAGTAATGAACACTTTGATTGAATGTGTTGTTAGTCTTTGCTTTCGTGGCAAAACTGGCAAACGATATCTTTCATTTGATGAATATCATTACATTAACCGACCCGTAGTTTTGTTGGGAAGTACAAGGTTAATATGCACATATTTCACAATACAGGCAGTATTTTTCAGAGTGTGGCCTTGAAACTTGTTTTTAAAAGTGACCATGGATAATTTTTCCTCTCTTTGTTAGCGAAATTCTTCGTTGAATCTAATTAGCTTACAGGAGAATGTGATGTCTGGTGACGCTTGTTTAACATTCGTTCTCGTTTGTTTAATTACAAGTTTAGGCCAAGAATTTCAGTTCATGCACCTGAAAAGTTTGATGCAAGAGCCATGTGAGCGCAGGCCTCGCGACTTTTTCCTGACCGGTTGATGTTACTGTTCGGCTCTATACTCATCAGCTTTTAATATAGTTTTCCAGAGGATTGCGCGAGCGGAGCCGTACGGGGTCATAGCTTAAAATTCGCCGTTTTCAGACCTCCGCATTTTGAAACTGCAGAATGAAATTACCGCCCCTCAAGCGAGCTGACTTGTGGGATCAACGGTAGACATTATTATATTTTCAACATAGAGTTTGCAGACTGAGCCAGGGTAGTACATTACTGATTATCTTGCCTTTCTACCGTGGCATGTAATCTAAACCTACGAACAAAAATTTTTGTCGTTTGTTTAGTCTTCACAGGCTGAAGGGAGATGTTTCCCAGATTTCCTCCGTTACATCATACGGTGTTCATCGCGGCCTGCTGGGTTGGTATGTCTGTGCTTGTGATCCTGTGGCATTTTGAACTCACAGGTAATGAGGTATTAGGAAAATCACCACATTGGTTACTAAGGTGAATCTTACACGAGTCCAAGTGTTTGCCTGGTTTATGATTGATAAGCTATTGAATCTCAAGGGTTTCGCTGTCTGAGGTAGATTAAGGTTCAGATAGGGCAACTGAGAATATCCAGAATAACCACTTTAAAATTTAAGAGTGTGATTTTACTCTGTAATGGATAAAAGTAGGTGAAACTCAAATTTTTGCAGTGTAGTCTCCTTATTACGAAGGTCCTTAGCTTTGATGTCGCGTCCGTCCCTTCATTCTACAATAAACCGGCATGGAAAGAATAAAAGACTCACACTAATGTCTGCATAAAACTGTACTCATTTTATACAATTGTCCATACGTATCTGCGACAAAACCATCAGAAATATGCGATTGACACCTGAAAACCTCGAATTATTTAAAATTTGCTCCCAGTCTGATATGCTGGTTCATATAACTAAGAATTTGAATTATGACATAAAAATTAGGACATACAAATTGCACCATAAGGCATGGCAAGTCACCTAATGCGATGTTTTGGATCAGAGATTCTCTTTTGAAATTTTCTTTTAGGTAAAACTGGCAGTGACAGAAGTGACACATATCTACACTCCATCCAGAAAAGGGCCTTAGAACACACATCTCAGGAGCAAAACAATGTCAACAACGATGGATCAATGAAGTTGACAGGTAAACCAAATAAGACAATAAGTACTAATTGACATAGAAAATCCATTAGTTTACAAACAGAAACTCATCGATTGGCGCTGCTGAGCATATCGAGGGCTTCTTACGAAGTCTGTTAGTGTCAACCCGGCCTGCCTTTCCCTCCGGAGGCCGGTAGGAGCGGTCATTTCTCGTCCCAGACCCCTGGTTGCGCGAGAAGCCCACGAGATTCTTGTGAGGCAGTGCTCGCGGGCTCGCGGGCTTAAGACACAATTACACTTGGGAGTTTTGTTGAGGGTCATATACCATCCCTCAATAAAGGCTGATAAAGGAAAAGTTAATGATGTGAAATTCCCTTCACCCTTTACTATGTTTTATTTCAACTTTTTTACTCAAACAGATTCCTTCGAAATTTGTTCTTGACTGTTGCATTGTTCAAATGAATTGCCTTGTCATTTCTTTTGCAAGTGGACTTCATAGAGTCATTAAGGTTATATTGAAAATGTAAAATAGCACTAAGGTAGACGGATAATCTTTTAGTTAACCCAGAGGTTTTTTTTATCTCACCTTGTAAACTGGTTCACAGTTCTATTTATCCAGTTCCAGGCGTTTACTTTCTTTTTCCGCTCTGTCTGACAACTGAGCGGCTAGAACAGGTTAGGTTTTTGGGTGACTTCTCAATGTTGGAAATGATTCTGTCTTTACATCTCTTACAGAGGAAGTAACAAGCAAAAACGAAATGTATGATCGAGTGAACACGCTGTTGCTATTTGTTGGTTACTCTCGCAGTAGACACAGCTTAGTTTCTTCATTACTTGACGCTCACCCTCACATGATAGTTGCAGATGAATCGTATGCACTGAGAAAATGGGTTCAGCAACCAGCATGGAAAACGGAAAAATCAAGATATGAATTCTTCGATACAATGTTGGGAAACTCAGCGCGGTCTGTAAAAAGAGGTCGAAGGTCTCGCGTAGCCAACGGAAGCGCAGCAAATTTTCAAATCTTCGGCTACCGTATTCCAGATCAGTGGCAGGGAACATATGATCGATACATACAGGTGAAATATAAAACTTAAAATATCAATTTCACGGGCTGTAAATCGATGTAAATGTTGAACAGCTCAATCAAATTATATTCCAACAAATCTTCTCGAATCATAACCATTTTGGTCATGTTCCAGGCATAAACCTTAGGGCTTTAGCGATCATATCTGAAAAGATATTGAAGGCTGAAATAATTTGTCATTCAAAATGCCTCATTTACAAAGTACGTTTGAATCATTTTTCATAAATCCTGTAAGCATTTTCTTTAACTAGGAAATCACAATTAAGAATGTGCAAGGTTCAGTCTAACCGTCGCCTCAAACTAATGACCAGTCCGTTATCTTACTTTGTTTTGGAAATGAACTGCAGGTGATTGGAGACAAGACAGCTTGGGACACTGCAGTAATGCTTCGTCTGCTTGGAACACGAGCCATTTATGAAATGAAAGAGAAACTTGGAGTGAACATCAAGTTCATTCATGTTGTCAGAAACCCATTTGATAACATAGCCACATTTGTTCTTCGACACAAGGACATCCAGGCCAGGACCGCTGACCCAAATGTCAAGGTACGCATATGCAAATCACGTGTCGAGGGTCAACAATGAATTGAATGCGTCGCCAATCGCTTTGTTTGGGCCCATTGATTATTACAGTCTGATTTTTTACGTGTTTGCGAATTACTGGCATTTTTTAAGCACCATCTTAATTAACTGCAGCTCAATTAAATAGGAGACATTTCAAAGAGATGAAACAATTAAGTAAACACTAATACAAAATCTACCATTTACATCTACTAAGAGGTGCATCTCAATTCTAAACAGATCAATGCCAGTGAAATTTTAGACGAAAAGATACAACTTTACAACAACTGGGCAGAAGGAACCTTTGTGGCCCACAAATCCTTTCCGGAGGACTTCCTCAGTGTTGTTAGTATGGATGTCGTAAAAAGGCCAGCGGAATCGCTCAGGAAAATGTGCCATTTCCTTCAAGTAACTTGTTCAGAAAGCTACATTCAGGACTGCGCAGCGATAGTGGACCCAGTCCCCTCAATTACCCGACACCGCATTATGTGGACGGAGAAGCAGATAAACAGAGTTTACGCCACAATGAGGGCGTTCCCGGTATTGTTTGAGGGATTTACGTTCGAAGACGTATGACATACGTCTTAGAAATAATAGACATATAGATAATAAATCTTTTTGGGACAGACCAGTGCAGTTAAAACTTTGCTTTTTGTGAGTATTACAAATCCTTTCAATTCCTTCTCTTTCAGTTACTCAGCTCTCGAATGTAAGCTAAAGCAGAAGACACTTAATAGAACTAAAGCAGAAAAAGTTGTTAATAAGGTAAAAATAGAATTTGGACAAAAGATCGGGAAGTTCTCTCAGATGACCAGGGCCCTGAAGATAGCAAAATCTAACAAATTATTTGTCTCCCTTTATTAACAGTTAGGAAATAGTGTGATAACTTGTAAGTGAAATTCCTGCAAGTGAAGAAAATCATGCAACTACACTGGTTGGCGGCAAGTGATCGATGTCGGGCAGTACATATGTTTATTATTGCAACCAAAAATAGTTAACACTGAATTTGTCGAGACACTGATAAGAAATTCAAATCCACAAATCTTTTCTGATATATCATAAATCCTTAAAGTTGTCGCAGGTAACGGCAATAATCATTACCTTGTCAACTTGACAGGCCTTTTACAAAGTAAAACGCTTTTCCCACCTTTTTGTGTCGAAGCACAGCTCCTTTGATTGTCGGTCATTGTGATAGAAGTAAGTAAGCGTGATCATCTTCAAAAAGACAAACGTAAATGCCGGACGGTACATTTGTCGCACAACTGAAATGCTACAAGAAGTCGTGAGGTCATCGTTCATTTGTTATCGGTGCCGATGTTTTATTTGAAGTGTTTCTGCATCGCTTGCTCTCGAGCGCCGTTTGAATCGCTTGATCTTAAAGAGAAATTTCAGTGCCGTCTGAAAATCTCGCCTAAAAAGTGTATACAAAACAGGGTTTGTAACAGAAGTAGCATATCTAACTAAAACAAACACGTGAGCTGGGATTTCCAATTCCTTAACATCGTTCATTATTCTGTATAACAACATCACGATGTACCATGGCAACCAACAAAGGAGAAAGATTGTGGCCATAGTAACAACAAGAACCAAGCACTTTTTGTCGAGGGCGGCTTGTCGAAGACGATCATAGATTGTCGGTCTCCAAAGCAACGAAGGTGTTTCCCGACGGTTTTCTCTGATTTGAAATTGCTTTAAAGATAAAGATAAAAGCGTAAATCATGAATGCATACGGCAACGAGGCAAAAAATGACATGTCCCTACTTCAATCGCGCTTGTATTTTCAAATCGTCAATGCGTAGCAATGCAAAAGGACTAAAGGCCACAATGATAGACAACGCCCAAACTACTTTGAGCACTTTGCAAACTGATTTTTTTGGTCATTAATCGATGTGTTACTGGCCAGATGATCGACAGGTACTTCTCTGTTGTGGCGATCAGTATATGATAACAAGATGATATGGCAGTCAAATTGTTCAGTACACTTACCAGGATGGCCATGTAATATCGAACCTCAAACGACTTAATAACTGGTGTGAGCGATTCAATTATAAAGAGGGGAATATTGATGATCCCTGTCATGAAGTCACAAACTGCCAGGCTGAAAAGGACATAGTTTGATGCTGTTCGGAGCTTGGTATTCTTTTTAAATAAAACCAGCACCAAGCCATTTGCAATGGTGACCAGGAGAGCAACAGGAACAAGCTCTGCTACGGCTTCAATGTTGACGCTGTTATGGTTGAGCAAGGACGGCCTTTGTACAGTGGCGTTTGTGTAGATTGAAACCTCCATTGTTGGTACTTCTGTCGATTGTTAAGTTCTTCTGTAAAGTTAATAAGCAGTTAAAATTTCAATTAACAACTTCTAAATGACGTTGGGTGAATTGTCAAGGGAAAGCAGTAACCGCGTCTAACACTTGTGATTATTCTTTATTATTCTGAAAGCTCAAGATAGAAAAGTAAGAATGTTGCGTAAAAACTATTCACAACATTGTCTGATTATATCAACTGGTACTTGAATTAGCCCGCTTAACTATGCTTGATAGGCATGTTAAACCATCAGCCCGCTTAACTATGCTTGATAGGCATGTTAAACCATCAGCCCGCTTAACTATGCTTGATAGGCATGTTAAACCATCAGCCCGCTTAACTATGCTTGATAAGCATGTTAAAGCATCAGCCCGATTAACCATGCTCTTTAAGTATGTCTAATCATAATGTCGATCACCTAAGGCTTTGACGTTCGAACTCCACATGTGGTAATTTACCCCATCAACAAACTAGTGTTTTATTGAAAGTGGTTTGTACATATTTCAACCTTCTGGCGGCCTCAGTTTAATTGCAATCCTTCATCTATTTTTAAACAGTAACTTAAAGTTTCTTTCAAGCATAAGATTCTGATAAATCGATTGCAGATATAGGCCCACAATAACGGTAAGTGCCATTCTTTATTCTCACGTCCTGGAGCTCAAATAATGACTTGTTCAATTTATTACAAGAGAGAAAGTAACGTCATCAGTGAAACATTTGAAAACTCTTTAATGTGATTGTACCAATAAGCATATTTTTATTCTATTTCTCTGGCAACTAAAATACATGAAAATCATCCACAAAAAGGATATGCTCAGGAAAATATTTTCAATTGTCGATGAAACAGTACAAGACAGGTGATATTATTGGCAGCCCAGGATATAAATCAATTGTTTTTAAATTAACATATGCTTTATCTCTAATATTTTCGTTTTCACTTTTCAAATTTCAACCCTCCTAGAAACTCACTAATTTTTACTGGTTTGGTAGGAATTTTTTCGTCTTGATAATCAGATTACATGAAAGCGACAGACACAGCTGCTGATCCTGTTCAGATAATGGTCAAAATCTTTGTAAACTAAATTTTGACATGGTGTTAGTGATGACATAAAACTCACATTGAAAGGGTGTAAGAGAAGGCTAGCAGAGGACTGATGAAACGGATCTCATATTCATGTAACAACATTTGCAGTGCAACTTTAAACCTATCAAGGACACCTTTAACTTAAATAACTAAGACTGCTTGTTAAAATTAGAGACTTAAAAAATTGGAACCCCATAGCTGTAGAACACAAACAAAGGTTGTCTTTGAAGTCTGGGAAAAGCTAGAGAAGCACTCAGTGAACGAGATACAATTGATGTAAGTGAAGAGTTACGGATGACAAGTTCGGTGGAAATGTGTAAGATAATTATTTATTGTAAAAAAATCGACTGAAAAGAGATTGATATAAGACATCAGCGTTATAGATTCTTTCCAGTCTTCTCTGAGAGGACGCGATGAAATTTAAAAATGTCGGCTCAGTATCCCTTGCTTCAACATAATCGACTAAGATCGCCCTGGATCTTGATTTTGGAGGATAAAAGCTTACGTTATAAAGAAAGAATATTCCTGAAGCAATATCAGTAAATATATCATGAGACCCTACGTGATCATCCTGTTTACCAGAAATATTCTTGCAATGAATGTTTTCAATGAAAAAAATTTCGCTGTGGTCTACTGTACGCTTTCATCAAATGTTTTTACCGCTCAACTAGGTATCTTTGAATAACAAATGTATGATAATTCCTCAGCGTATCCAATAAACTTCCACGAAAACGACTCCGTTAACTAATCTCGCATGTCTTTGGAGACCGCCTCCACAGAAGAAATAAACGAGCGACAAGTGATTTAGGATAGGTCTTAAGTCAAAAATGACACAAAAGATTCTAAGTATTCGCATTTCTATTGACTACAAACACAGGCTTCTTTTATCTATAATGGCACCTTGGTTTGAAATGAATATTAATTTTAAAAAACTTGTGTCATGGTTTAAGAGTTCGCGAAGGTGGCCTCATTTGTTCAACCAAATTTATATTAAGATCCAACCCCCTCAGGCTGAAAAAAAGACGAAATAAAATGAAAATTAGTAGATAAGAAATATTTTGTACTGAAAATCAATTTACTCATGGAAATATTCGCTGGCTCATTAGCTGATCTCTGATAAAAAAGGAGTCGGTATCCCCTTCCTCCAGTTGGATAGACAAAGTGATTGTTTTTACCCAAAAAACATCTGGATTATCAGTGCGAAAGCGATAACTATTGTCAAATCTACCTGCTAAAGAGCGAGTGAAAATAAGACTCAAAACAACTTAAATCATGATCAATTCAGCACTTCACGGACCAAAACGAAATAAAGTCGTTCTCTGCTCTTGTTTAGATAACTGTGATCAGGAGTTTACAACTTTGTGTTAAATTCTGCACTCAAGGCATATACGCGAAGCTAATAATGTAAGTTTTATGTGCGATGAGCTAGTGCTATTTTCAGCTTCCTATACTGTTTATGTGCGTCTCCAGCCGAGCTTAACTGCAAGCCCGCGGTCTTTGAGCTGCGCAGCTAATGGCATAATTCTGACCGAACACCAGGTCTTAGAACTTCGGTCTGAGCCATTGCTCCGAGACACACGCTTTGGGAAAGAGATTCCTCGTGTAAGATTAACTGGAATAACTCTAAAGAATTACTAAAAAAATGTTGGCCTAGCGAACTTTTTCTCGAGTTGTGTCGTGATATACCATAGTTTTTTAGTGCAATGGCATATTCGTATATTTCCTATAAATCATTAGAAAGCGACACAGCCCCTTGATTTATTAACTCGTTGGAGCTGAATTATTCATAATAGAATTGTCTATATTCAGTAAAATAAGATGTCTGGCGTGTTTATTTCAGGTTTTGAGCAAACGAAGACGTTTTTCATTACTTTCGTCATATTTATTTATGTTTTTTGTCATTTAATGCTGTATTAAGCTTGAAAGATATATGTTAAGGTGAAACATATGCTATGTCAAAACTAATTTCATACGTAACATATCTCTACCATAACAGTATTGGCAAAGTTGTAGCCATGGATGTCTGAAAGGATATAAATCATTGGGCAACGAAAATAAACAATGTTTTGAACTACAAAAGATAATTATAAGGCCTAGGGGCAATCAATGCACCTTTAGAAGTCAAGGTAAAATTCAAAATAAAAGTTATGGTAAGACATTTTGCGGTGCATTTTGGCTCTTTCATCGCTGACACTAATCAAGAACTTCTCCATGCCAGAGGTAAGATATATCTTTAAATTTCCCTTAATTTCCAACAAGGAAAAGGAGGAAAATGTTTTTTCATCATAGAAAAATTAAACGAAAGTGCACACAATAAACAACTCATGAATTTAACTTTTAGATGCAAAGAAGGCGGCGATCAATTTGACTCAGCATATATATTTTACTTAGGGATGACATTAGTAACAGGTTCGAAATGCTTACGTTTTTTTCAAAACTTTCAGTTTCAGTTTGAAAAAAAAAGTGATGAATTGAAAAAAAAAAAAAAAAACCAAAGTCATAAATGGACTCACCTTCTCTCACTTGGCGGTGTATTTTGTCTCCAAAAGTATCTGAGGTAAAAAAGGTAAAATAAAATCTAAAGGTTCAATAACTTTCAAGCAGCCTTTCAGTCGATAACTGTGGGACTCTAGAGTCTCTTCCAATGACTTGTAAGTGACTAGTTAGTACCACGATAGGAAATGGTGCTTAATAACGTTCAGAACGCTAGCATGCTAACACTATTACCCTGTATTGTCGTTCGAACCATTTACACAGAATGGCGATTACTGGAAAGTTATTTCAAGCCAGACTTGTTTTAAAGACTGACCTTGAAAAACTAGAAGCTTCTTTGGATTTGTAACCTTTACCTTGCATCTGCCTCGAAAAAAAGCTTTAATAAAACCCGACAAAAGATTCACTGTTTAGTAACATCAAAGACGGTCTAAAGTCGCTTACAAAGCGCGCCATAAAAAACCTAGACCGACCCTTCAACAGCTGCTATCACGTATTGGTAACCGACAAGTACAAGGCACTATGGCAACGGAATAGCCAATCGACAACACCGAAACACCAATAAATATACAGCTCTTTGACCTTCATTTTTTTACTGCCTATTTATGTAAAGGATATCAAAATACTTTTTCTTTCTACTTTTTTCCTTTTTCTGAGAGAGTCGAGGTTCAGAACAATATCGTAATTATTTGTATCTTCAAACAGAGTTGGATTGTGCATGGTTGTTGTGATCATAGTCCTTTTTATGAAGTTTATTTCACGACTATAATATTTAAAAACAATTTGAAGACAAACATTTGATTCCGAGAGCAAGACAAGAAAAGAAAACAACAGTAAATTGACCCAGAGATGAACAAACAAGCAAATGAATAAAAAATGAAGAAATAGATAAATAAATTAATAAATCAATGGATCAAAATTTTGGAATGGGAGTTTATCTCTCGATAGCGCAGATTCGTGGTTGTTACCTTTCCAGAAGTTTCCTTTGTCTTTCGGGAACAGTTATCAACACGAAGTTAATGTTTTCAATGAAATATTGATAAAGATTGGGGTCTAGCACCTTGACACAATGCTTTATTGGTGGTCAAACTGAAAAGACGCCGGATTCGTTTTTAGAATGAATTACTTCATTTCACCCAACTTTAAAGTAAACTTTCTACATTGACAAAACAAAGGTTGCACAAAATTTTCGCTTCCCTGATTTGACCTGGTAACGGGAACTGAATTTATCTCATCTATGGTTCATAAAGTTCCGTGTTACTTCGACGACGAACGAAATAGAATCATCTTCTCAACAAGTAATTTACGTATAATAGGAAAATTAGCATTTGAAACGCAACTAAAAATTTGATTGTATGATGCAAAGAATATTTGGCGCCGCTAAAATTGATGTAAAACACCGAAGT